TCTCAGTATTCTCAGAATTCTGGATTAAAAGATCGTCATATTGCGTCATCCACGTGACTTCATTATGACTGGTCAATTGCTCCGTTGACACTATATAGTAATTTTATTATAAATTTCACTCTGATTGTAATTAGTTATAATTATTTATTTGTAATAAGCTAATAATAATTTTTTTGATAAATTGATATTTATTATAAAAAAATGATTTTTTCTTAATTTAACAATTGATTATTATCATTATAAAATTTAATTTTTTTAATATATTATATTTATACTAATATAGTAAAATATCAAATGTTAATAAATATATATTAGAAGATTTTATTTCTTTATTAATCATCTTTTATCATATCTTCTGAAAAAAAAGTAATACTGTTAATATGCAATCCTGTCAAATTGCGATTGTTAGACAGGTGTTTGAGTAGTGATTCTTTTTAAAGTTTATATAGTAATCTAATACAATTTTAACTTAAGCTTTAAGATTTATACATTAGTATACACTCAACAATACTAAAAATAAGGTAATTCAATTGATTCAAAGTTATAATGATACATTTATTAATGATAAGCAATAAAAAATAAAGAAAAGAAAAAGAAAATAAGAAATAAAATAAGAAAACTAAAAGAACTAGAAGTATTAAATGCGAGAATTAGGCCAAGTGTCTCTATAAATGCTACTAAAGGTATATCTAAAGGTAAAACTAAAAGGAAACTAAAAGTGAACTGAAGTTTATATAATTTTATCATTCTTTATTTATATTAAATTAATACATAAATATATATAATAAATAAATCAAATATATCTAATATATCAAATATATCTATTATATTTTATTTATTCAATATATCAGTTAAGGACAGCTAATTTTAGAATTATTATTTTTTTGCAAAATATTAAGCTATTGACTATTCCTTCGCTGCTAGTTATTAAATCTTTTATTGCTTAATCTTTAATACTAAAATTGATATTTGTGACTTGATTTATTCATAAAGATTCTCCTGCGAAAATGATACATAATCTATCAGTTTAAGCTTGATATAGTATTGCGAATGATGTCACTTTATTATGCAATCTAATAAATAATTGTATAAATGTATTAGAGATTCCATCAATATTTTATTGTACTAAAGTTGCATTCGCATATTTATCTTCTACGAATGCTATTATGTTTTCTTTCATTTTATTAAGAACTAATTCATAATTAGGTATTCAACTTACCATTTCAGTTACGTCTGATATATCTTCTTTTACTTTTCTATTGGCTAAAGTTTTAACTATTGATTGTGAAATCGCTCTATTAGTTATATTAACTGATAGTTGATGGACTATTTATTTAGTCACTTGTAATTCAATATCAACTATGAGTTCACGTAAATTTAAGTTTAATATTACTTGAGCGTTTCATATATTTGTTCTTAAACCCTGAGTGGATTTGCTGGATTTGAGAATATCACTAGTCATTTTATTGACCATAGTAACTAAGATTGGATTTTGATTAATTTGTATGCTATTTAAAATTTTGATACTTGGGGCACCTGTTTGACTAGCAGTTGATCTTAAGGTACCTTGTTGACTTAAGTTATCCCTTTTAATAGTTTGAATATTTATTGCTGAAGTTATTTCTGAATTTGCGTTTTTTGTTCTGCTTATTTTTATTCTGCCAGTCATATGTTTCTCTTAACTATAATATTCATGCCATCAATATCTGCTAAGATAATAGTGTTTTTGAGTTGATTTTTTACGTATTTTTATACTTTTTCATCTTTTGCGCTTATAAAATATTCACTATTGTCATTTAAAAATCTATAGGTGTTATTTTGGTTGCTGAAATTAAAAACGTAACTAGATTTTTTATTAATATATTCCAGATAATATTTTTGAAATTGTAGTCATTTTTTTTGAGAAAGAATTTACGTATAGATATCAGTTTTGAGTTGTTAAATTCATTGAGTGAAACATAATTATGATATGAAGTTAAAGTAACATACTCCTTTTGAAATAGATTTTGATATATTTACTGTTTATTTTTTTTCATATTTAATGCTGTAGCCTTCACCAGATCTATTATATAACTTGTTCAATATTTTGAAAATTTGTTCTCTAGAAACATACGTTATCTTAAAATAGTGATGTAGTCGATTATTGAGTTTTCTTAAATCATCATATTTTTTAGCTCTTATTAAATCATATAGCTTGTGCATAAAATTTTGAAAACATTCTTCTTAAGTGATATGTTTTATTATTTTTCTTACGAAATCTACTACACAAAAAAATATTATTCAATAGTTTTTTATAGCTTATGTTAGTAATGTAAAATTTTTTACATATTCTGATTCTATCCTTCATATATCTGGTTTTTTCTGTTACAAATTTTTTATGAATTAATCTATCAGCATATATTTGAGTTAGGAGTGTAAACTGAGAGGTTGTTTCTCTGATTAAAAAATCATTTTTAAATTCTAATAGTTTACTATTCTCTCCCTTATAATTTGTTGTATAATGGTAAGTTAACGTTCTTTGAACTTGAATGAATTTTGCTTTTTTATATGAAAATCTGACTTAAAACGTGTTTACTAATTAAATAAATTCTTCAGAAGATATCTATGGTAAATATTTTCTACTCTCAAAAATAGTTTAGCTCATTTTGTTGAAGGCAGATAGCCAGCAAAATCTATTCACTTTGTTTAATATAACAATTGAATATTTAAACATTGCGTATATGTCTTTACATTTTTTTTCATTTTCTTTCATGCTATATAATTTACTCTTTAGTGTTTTACCTCTTATTTGACCTTCTTAAATTCTTCTTTTCTTTTTCCATCTGATCTTTATTTGTAATTGTTCAATGATTTTGTAAATTTTTTTTCGTTCAATAATTCATTATTTATATAAAATTCAGCTATAACAACATCTTTTACTGAAAATCTTCTAGCTATATTAGCTTCTGAATAATCCCTATATATCAATTCATCTATGTGTATTCCAGTCATTTTCAGAATCTGTGCATATGAGTTTTCCTTATATTTAATCTCTCAAATCTTCAATATTAATATCATGATTAACTGATATCAATTTTAGTGTTTTAGATTTTTCAGCGAATTCTCTTTTAGGCTTTCTCTTTTTCTTATCTTTTTATATAGATGATTTGATTGTGTTTTTCATATCACTATCAAAATTTGAGAAGAAATTTATTTTTGAATAAAATTTTTGATTGTATAAAAAGAATGATTCAACACTTATCAGATATGTAAATGAATTAAACCTGTAAATGTTGATGTGATTTTTTATGAAATCGTTGAAATATAGATGAAAATAAATACAGAAAACTGTCTTTTCATTTGGAATTTCTGATGTTGATTATAGCTTGCAAAATGTATTGAAAAAACTTTTTATATTTTTATTAAGCTATATAGTTCTTCTATTGAAGTTTATAAATTTATTAGATCTTCATCTTCTGCAAGAAAGCAAAACTGTTTAAAATTTTATAAGCCTAACAAGTTCTTTAACATTTTGGCAAAACATCCCAGTTGTCTAATATCAGTATTTCTCTTGCTGAAATTAGCAATTTTGATCTTTGTTAAATTAATACTTTTTGATGGCAGATTTGAAATTTTTGAATTATTATTTATTCTCCCTATTAATGATCACATAATATCTATTCAATTTACAATGATAATTCAAAGATTGTATAGATATTGTATTTTTTAACATGTTTGCCTGCGTTATTTTGGTTAAATATAACATTTTCATAATTAGAGTCAAATAATAAATTTTTGATTACAATTGGTTGCATTTTTTGTTGATCACGTTTTCATCTGATTAGTACACTAGCAAAAAACTCTTCAGAATAACTAATCTAAATAAAGAGTTTTTGTTACCATTAATTTTGAACTCTATTTTTCTTTTGAGCCTATTTAGCCAGAATTGCACGTTAACATTTAGTGATAATGACAGGACCCTCTTTTTCTGTTTACGTAGTAATATACAATTAGATTACCTGAATAGTATAAATACATTTTGAAGATTTTTAGCATCAACACTTATTGATAACTACATTTGGGAAGTATAAACATATTTTGAAGACTTTAGTATTAACACTTATATTGATTACTATATTTAGGAAGTATAGCACATTTTGAAGACTTTTAGTATTAACAACTACATTTAGGAAGTATAAACACATTTTGAAGACTTTTATCATTAACACTTATGTTGATAACTACATTTAGAAAGGAATTGTAATTTAAATAATTTTGTATAATAATGTATTGTAGGATACATTATCAAAATTTAGCCTATTTTAACAAATAAAATTTTTGGAAGGTTAATCACATGATATAATAAATAATATGATATTAACAGATAAAATAATATTTATTATTTTGATTTAGTAATTTAGAAAAGATAAAAAGAACGAAAGTAAAAGTATTAATAGTGTGATTAGCAGCTCTTAAAATAATATATATCATAGTATTTATCATCAATTAAACAGTTTTGAGTAATCAAATACATAATAATTTATTAATTATATTCAAAAAAAATTCTCTAATTCAATTGATCTTCATGAGGAATAAGGCATACTAGGAATTGATAGCAATTACTATTCTTTACAAGTTGATTTTGAATAAAGTTGAAATGTCTTTGAAGTTACTTTAGATCTCTAGATTGATGTTTCTTTCTCGATAAACAAACTGAAAGTTATCATTAAGCTTTCTATACTTTTCTTGAAGTTTTTGATTTTTGTCTTTTCTTGAAGCAAATCTTTTTCTAAACGTTTACATTCAAAAAAAAATTTAGCAGTTTGATTTAAAAAAGTTGATAATTAATTTTCTAAAGTTGATATTTTTGCTTGAAGATCTTCTTAAACCTGAATTTTCTTTTGAACTTTTTGATAAGAACTTTTAGTTTGATAAAAAGGCAAAAGTGTTAGCCATTATTGCAGTTAACTAAATAAGATCGAATAAATCATTACTGTTTTTAGGAAACAGTATAGGTTATATATATTTAAAACTTATGATAAGCTAGCATATATCCTATATGATCAAAAGCTTTTAGACTAAATTATTCTTAAATCTACCTGTCTTATCTTGAGAAATTTTTTCATTTCTAAACTGCTTATACTAAGTAGAACTTTAGTATTAAGAGAAAGAAGACTTCTTTTTATTTATGTGAATCATTTTTGAAAATATTATGAGTTTGAAAATTTGCAATAATTTTGTTTAGATGATAAAAATTTTTTTGTAAAAATAGAAGAAATCTTGGAAAAAATATTTATAGATGAAAGACACATGTAAAATTTTTAAGATTGTGAGAATCCCCTCCTGCAAAAAAATAAACATTCTATTATTAGTTCAAAATTGTTATTGATTATTACATAATATTTTAAGAAATACAAATGCGTTTTATCAATAATCATGTAATATTTGCATAATACCTTTTAATCAATATTTCTTATTTAGTATAAAATACATGCAAAAAGATCAAAGAATATGAAAATGATGATTTGTCTTTTTGTTAATTATTTTCATATGCAATCACACAATTTAGTAATAGAATTCATAATCTTGTTATAAAATTGATCAATAAAATTTGTGATTTTATGAAACAAATTGGAAAATTAGAATTTTATGGAAATAAAAATCTTAAGAAGAAGTAATATAACAGGACTATCATAACTTAATTGATCTATATACTGCTTTATAAATAGTTACATAAGTGATATAATTAATATGATCGACTTAATAGATGTATTTAATTTATGTAACATAAGAAAGTATAGATCAAAATGTCAAACATGTCAAACATATTTAATATATTTAATATATCTGATATATTTGATATATCAGATATACCTAATATATATAATATATTAGATTTATATTAAAAGTATATAAAGGAGACTAAATTCTTGACAAGAAAGTAACTATCAGTTGCTAGATGCAACTTGATCAGTTCACTAGTAGAACATGTGTAACCTTTAGTTCACTATGTGATTAATTTCTTTCTTTTCTAATTTCTTATATTATTATTATTTTTTTTTATAGTATTCGATATATTAGAAAGATCAATGGCAAAAAAACAACACGCACGAATCATATAAATCATTATTAGTACTAATATAATTACTGAAAAGATCTTGACTGACTTAATTATCAGTTCTAATCCTATTGATATACTAGTCTAAGGATTGCTATCTAGGCGACCTTTAAAAGCAGAACCCTCAGGGTCATTGAATTTTAGAATCACTGTTAAATTTAGATAGAGGAATCACTTTCAGTCACAGATATTTTAGTTAATTATTTTCCCTGTCTATATCAATATTAATCAGAATCGCTATTACCTCTGCCTGGTATCAGGGTATTTTTACACATAATCGGGAAGGCTTAGATATTATCATCTTTATAAGATCTCAGAAAGGTAGGTGATTGTTATACCTATATCGTTAAACTCATTCAAGAATTGAACCTGACCTCTACCCTAAATGATAGCTTGATTGGATGATTGCTGCAGCAGTACAATGCAGTCTATTATCATATAATCACCTCGAGAGTATCTCGAAATATCACTTAATCTACTAATTACTGGTTAATCACTTTCTTACTTATATAAGGCCCTTGAAATTAAAGACGTAAAATAGTACTCAACCCATTACAGATCTATCAGCAAAG